GAGAGAGGGAGAAAAACCTTTGTCTGCTCTGCTGCCCTTATGGAGATGTCCGATGTATAGGACATGGAGCGTGCACACATAATGCATACGCACATTCTCACTTCGACACTCGCACAAATAAACCATTTATAAAGCAATGCAACAAATTCAAAAGTCTAATGTAAGTATGAAACGTGGCTATGTACTGACATAAAAAATAACAGGCAATAACATGGACACGTCACTTCACCACTGGATGCCACTGAATCTTAAACACTGGTCATTTAACAGTGTAAAAATCTTGTCAGTGCTCTCTGGTGGACACCATTCCTGAATGACTTCGAACCTGGGTTCGCATTTCTGTACTGCAATTTCTTGTTTCTTATCGACGTATACACCAGTATATCTGCAATGAGCAGATAGTGGCCGATTTAATGGCCTGGTTGATTTATTGGTCCAGCTATAATTACCATTACATCCAAATCACAAAGCCAAGCATCCAAGCTTCCAACAAGTGCATACCCACCGATATCTGAAGAAGCCAGAAGGTCACATACTCCTATTCAAAAGGCCAGAATGTCTTCTAAGACTCTTCTGATCATCTGGATGAAAAATAATCCTATCCAGGTAGCCAGAAATGTCATATTTTTATTATAATTATAAAAATATAAAATTTAGGAGACAAACAATAATATATACTATAATATTTTTTTATTCTGGTTCATGTCGTACAGATTGAGAGAGGAGATACATCATTCTGGCTGCCATCTTTGTTTGTAAGAGGAATAATAGGCACAACTTTGACAGGTGGTTAAAAATCTTTTTTATTATGCAGTGGGTGGAATATTTTTTTCAGGATTTGTAAATACCCTCTGAAAAGCAGCAAGGGCTGTTAAACAACCTTCTGGCTCTTTCAAAGATTGCCAGGTATTTATTTTTAGGAATATGGGGTCCGTAGCTCTGTGACTCCGATGTAATGGTAACTCATGAGAGGCACAAACTGGGGTTAAGTTTGTTATTGAGTCAACTGGTAAAACAGTACAAAGCACAAGTACTGTTGCCACGGTTACCTGAAGTATAATACAACTTTATTCTGATTTTAAGGGTGAGTTGACTAGTCTGCGTCCTGATATATGATTTAAACCTGTATATTCTACAACTATGATGTAAGACATGATAAGAGCCAACCTGACTTACAGAGAGAGAGAGAGAGAG